CCACCCGCACAGCCACGTGGCACGCCTGAACTCAGCCCCCCCCTTCAGCGAGTGGAGAAGCAGCTGCTGTCCCCCCCGGGGCGGGTGGCAGGGCCAGGGCAGGGGGTGCCAGCCACGTCCCTCGCGGTGCCAAAGCCCTCGTCCCGCAGAAGCGGAGCTGGCGCTGCCAGGCTCACTGGTAGTAGATCTTGAAGGCATGGAGGATGTACAGGAAGGTCGTGATGAAGGCAAAAAACTGCACAAGAGGAAGAGCAAAAGCCGGGGTCAGCTGGGAGAGTCTAACCCCTTCTCCTCGTGGGGCTCTGGAGCTGGGGAAACCTCCCAGCCTCAGAGAGGAGGCACAGCCCCGCCATTCCCGGGAGGCAGCCAGGCACAGCTCCCCATCGGCCACCGGACCCCGAGAAGCCCACGCTGGCTGCACGATGCCACGGAGAAGAGGAGCAGAAGCTCTGACCAGCGTGACGCTGGTGGGCTTGGGAGGGCTCTGCTGAAGCTTTACCCTTGGCTCCCGTGCCCCCCGGGGGCAGCTGCGGGGCTGGCGGGAGCGACTCACCGAGGCGCCGCAGTTCAGCTGGTAGTAGATGATGTCGTCGGTGCCGAACTCAGAGCGGATGGTGGCGTTGGCCTGCAGCACAGCAGCACTCATGTAGAAGATGGCCGTGATGCCGTGGTACAAGCTGTCCTGCAAACACAGGAGCAGAGAGGGTCAGAGCCTGCCCAGCACCTTCCTTCTCTTGGTCGGCTCCGAGGATGAGCTTCACCCTCGGCACGTGCCCGGACAGGGGCTGGAGCCAAGCCTTTGTGCCATGCTGAGCCCTTCCCCGTGCCTACACAGCACCCTCAGCATTTCCAACCAAGGCAAAAGGAGGAAAAAGGGCTGGTTTATTTCAGAAGGGCTGGCAGATGGAGAGCTAACCCCTCACCAGCCACAGCGGTCTTGCACCCACAGTGCTGCTGCCAGTGCCTGCTGCTGTCCCAGCCCCTCCTTACCATCACTTTCCAGTTCTCGCTGTTTCTGTGGAAGCCGAAGAGGTAGCTGAAGAGGAGGAGCAGGGAGATGAGGCAGGAGCTGAGGGACACGTACATCACCCATCCCTGCAGCAGCGGGAAGGAGACGGCGGAAGAAGCGACGAGGATCCACACCCAGGTCCCAGAGAGCTGCCAGGGACAAACACAGGCACCTCCAGTGAGCACGGGATGGGGGAAGCCCCTTCTCCTCCTGGAGTCCTGCCTGGGCCAGCTGGCAGCCCTGCCTTCTGCAGCATCCCGGCACAGCAGCAGCACCACAGGCTGGCACGAGTTTCCCTGAATGCTCTTGAGAAGTATGCCAAAACATTTCTTACAAAGAAGGAAAGGTGTGTGTGTTCAGCGTGAGGAAACATCTCACCCCGAGGGCTTGGGTGAAGAAGCCAGAAAATGTGCTTGTATCTGGGAGAGGTGAACGGCCGTGTGGGCCCAGCCCTGCCCGCTCGTTAATCTCCTGGGATTTCAATCACAGCACAAGGAAGTCTCCTGAGCCTCTCGCTCTGGATCCACCTAAAATATTTACTGTGCATGAGTAGCACATGGGGTTACCTGGACGAGCTCAGGCTGCCCTGTGCCATTCTAGCTCCGCTGGATGAAACTCCCCCCGGTTTGCAGCGGGGTGCTGAGCCCACCAGCACGGGCAGCTCATGGCAGAGCCCAGCTGCAGCTCTTGTGCCCGTGGAGCCTGGGTGGTGTGGGCCACCAGCACTGTGTCAGGTCTGAAAGTACACCAGCTGCCCTCTGGACCCATAACCAACTGATAGACTCATGGAATGTCCCACATTGTGAGACACCCAACTGCCTTCAAACGCTTGGAAAGCCTTAATGCAGAGAAGAAATTCCCTTGATTTTTGAGCTGTTTCTATATGTTAACTA